CTATCTCAAAAATAACCAGAGCAAAAAGGGCTGGTGGAGTGGCTCAAGTGGTAGAGCACCTGTCTACCAAGTGCAAAGCCTGAATTCAACCCCAGTACTGCCAAAAAAAAAAAAAAAAGTCACGGTAGTGCCTACCTTAAGGGCAGGTGGCAGAGGGGTTTCTGAAAGTGTTGGGACAAGCACTTTCTTATCTGCTTATGGAAGTTTAAGCTCTGCACTCTCATTCTGTGTGCTTTTCCTCATGTAGCTATACAGTGTCCCTTTGTATCTGCAGGCTCCACATGAACAGAAAATATATGAAAAAAATATTGCATGTGTTCTGAACATGTACATGCTTTTTTTGTCATCCTTCTCTACACAACACAGTACAACTGCTGCTTGCATAGTATTAATCTCCATTTGTAGTAGGTGTTATGAATAATTTAGAGATGATTGAGGGTATATAGGATGATGGACATAGATCCTGTGTAAATATGATGCTATTTTCTGCAAGGGACTTGAGCGTCTGTGGCTTTTGATAAATGAGCGGGGTCCAAGAAGCAATCCCCCATGGATACTGAGGGACAACTGTATCTGAAAATGTGCTTCCAAGACTGATGCTCTACCACTTGAGCCACTCCACCAGCCATTGAAAAAGGTTTTTAGGGTCCTGGTGATGTAGCTTAGTGGTACAGTGTGTGCTTAGCATGCATAAGATCCTGAGTTCATCTCTAACACCTCCTCCCAAAAAAGTTTTTTTTTTTTTTAAGTACAGGCTTTGACTCTATTTCATATTTCATGTTTAAGTTACTCCAGATCTCAGTTTCCTCATCTGAGAAATAATCCTACCTCACAGGGCTGGTAGATTAAATAAGATAATGCTGGGAAAATGCAAAGTCCTAGGGCCTGACACAGACAGCACACAAAAAATGTTGGTTCCTGATCCCATCTTACCGATGAGGAAACTCAAGTTCAAAGACACATGGCTACTTTGTGCAAATGGGGATTTGAACTGGCCTCTTGGACCCCATTACATTGTCTCTTACAGGATTCCATAGGACCCAGCAGTGCCAGGCTTCTAGGAGCCCCATGAACATCCATGAGTCTTCCAGGCTGCTCAAGACACAGGAGCAGGAGGCCACAGTACACTGTGGGCTTTGCAATGAGCCAGCACTGAGTTCAAGCAGGGTACCTCCAGTTATCATTTGAAGTTGGGAGGACTCAGGTCCAAGTCTTAGCCCAGCTGCTTAAGAGCAGGTGAACTCAGGTAAAGATCTTCACCTCCCTGTACCTCAACATCTTTTTCTATGAAACAGGAGTGAGAAGCCAAGTATGGTGGGGCATACCTGTAAGCTTAGCTACTTAGGAGGCTGAAGCAGGAGGATCATAGGTTTGAGGCCTGCTTGGGCTACATAGCAATTTCAAAGCCAGCATGGGTTACATAGTGAGACCCTATGTCAAGTAAAATTAAAAAAGGGTGTGGGTGTGTGTATAATATAGATCAGTGGTAGAACACTTGCCTAGCATGCATAAGGTACTCTGTTCAAACCCCAGTACAAAAATAAATAAGTAAATAAAATAAATAAATAAGTAAAACAAAATAGTAGTAGTGCAAACGGGGATTTGAACCTGTTCTCTTGGACTCCATTGCATTGTAATAGGAGAAACACAATCCTCTAGCCACAGCACTGTGTGAAGATTACAAGGAACAGAACAGAAAGGGCTCAGCGTACTGCCAGGTGCGTAATAATCACTCAATAAAAGTGACTCTGCCGAAGGTGGTGTGCACACTTGTAATCCCAGCTACTCAGGAGGCTTACATACAGGAGGATCACAAGTTCAAAGTCGGCTTGTGCAACTGAGCGAGACTGTCTTAAAACAAGAAAATAAAAAGGGGTAGGGGTGTAGCTCCATGGGAGAGCGCTTGCCTAGCATGTGCAAGACCCTGGGTTTTACCCTCAATACCGGGGCGGGGAGGGAAATAGCTATTCTTATCATTATCACCATCACCTCTGCTTATCTCATTTGCCTTGGTCCCCACACAAAGAAGGGCTGTGCTCCTGGGCTTCCCACAAGGTCCACTGTGTCAGCTATCTCACAGGCCAGGTGACAGCCTCAAAGGAAGGCATGATCTACAGGGTCCCTGGACCCTGGGCATGGCCTTCTGCCTTCACTACTTCCAGACCTTCAAGAGCCAGCCCTCTCCTGCATGGGAGACTGGAGATGGAGGGCGATGCTGCGGGGAGGCCCCACCCTGCTGGGGCTCTCCTCTGACAGTCACCAGAATTGGAGCCAGATTTCTAGCCTCCTCAATCCCTTCTGACCCCCTAGGTCAGCCAGCATGTCTTTATTGGACTGGCAAGAGGCCCAGGTCACCTTCAGTTTCTTCCAACTGGGATCATCCAAATTCAATAAATTAGTCCACTTGCTCCTTTTTTTTTTTGAACTCAGGTCTTCCTGCTTTGCAAAGTAGGGTCTCAACTGCTTCAGCCACACCTCCAGTCCATTTTTTGCTGTGGTTATTTTGGAGATGGGGTCTAGTGAACTATTTGGCTGGGCTGGCCTTGAACTGCAATTTTCCCAATCTCAGCCTCCCAAGTAGCTAGGATTATAGCTGTGAGCCACTGGCACCCCACCCACTTTAAATACTGTCTCCCCTGCTCCCCACCCAATCATATCCATGCTTTTCCTCTAAGAAGCATCTCCTGACACTCCAGCTGCACCATATTTAGCTCTCCTTACTTAGATGGTCCTAAGGCCCCGCGTCAAGAGGAGCATCCTAGCCCTGTCAGGGTGCTCATGCTGTGTGCCCCACAGGCCCTACACTGATGCCCATACAACTGTCCAGTGTCCTTGCCAGACAGAGGCACTGTCTGGCCTTTCTTCCCTCAGCAACCACCTACTGAATGCTGAGGGTCCAACAGCAAGACAGCCAGACAAGTCCTCGCCTGCTCTGAACATTCTGGTTCTGGAGGGAGACAGACATCCACCTATGAAGCACACAAATGCATGACATGTAACTGGATCCAAGATTCTGAAGAAGATGGGAGACCCTGAGGCTCAGGGTCCCTACCCAGGGGCTCTGCTCTGGGCTGGGCCGTCAGAAGATGTTGCAGCTGAGACCCTAACAACAAGGTCTAGATAACTCAATGGTGGGCAGGAGGGACAGGTGCTCCAGGAAGAAGGAAAAGACTACACAGGCTAAAAGGAAGAGGTGCAGGGACACTGGCAGCATGGCCCAGGTCCAGCACTGTTGGCTAAATGAACACAGGAAGCATTCACTACCCAAGGTGAGGCTTGACACATGGGAAAGCTTCAACAAAGGACTCTCACTCAGGCCATGAGCCTCACGGGGCTGGACATGCATCCACTGTGCCCAGAACCCTGCTAAGGACCCTGTGGTCGCAGTTGAAGCCTTGTGCCTCTGAATGAGAGAGAACTGCAGGGGGCTTTGCCTTTCCTGCAGGTATGAACCTAGGTACCCAGGTAGCTGCTTTGTGGTAGCCCTGTCCCTAGGTGCAGGAAATACTACTATGTCCATTGCCAAGGTCACCAAAGGCCCCCAAAAGAGAAACATGTTGGATAGCACCCTCTCCCAACCACTCTTTGGTAGTGCCAACTCTGTTGCTTGGGGCTGGGGTGAGCTGGAGAGGAAGGAGCTGCCCTCCTCTGGGCACTGAGGCTAAGAGGCCTGAGGGCTAGGACACCTGCCACTTGTGCCCCATCCAGCTGCAGCCCTGGCACCAGCCAGAGGCAGCCATCTCTGCCCCCTCCACCCCTAAGGGACTTAGGGGTTCTTATTCTCATGGCAGGCACTAGCCATCTGGAATTCTGGCAACTGGGGACAGAGGGCATGCTGATTTTGACAGACCACCACATGGGGAAAACTCTGTGTCTTTGTCCACCCCTCTTCTACTGGTTTTCTAAAACTGGGTCCAGCATGAGCTCAGGACCTCATGGGGGAGGAGGCACTGGAAGAGGAGAAAGAAAAAGCAACAATGGCAGCCCTAGCAGTTGCCACCACACCACCTCCATGTTGGGTGCTTCTGGGCCGCTACTGAGCTCCCTACAGGCTTGACTTTACAGTCTCTTATTTAGCCAACAAAACACATGTCACCGCACCCTGTATTTGTAGGGAACTATGTGCAAAACAATTTGTCTCTGGCCCTCCCCAAGCCTGAGAGCTCTAGAGGACAACGGCACCCACACCCACATCCCTGTTTGGCTGGTGCTTGGCATTCAGCAGCACAAGGTTTGCTGCTGCTGGAATGACCTCGCCATGACACTCTAAGGTAGACTACTAATCCTGGTGATGACAAGACACTGAAGCCTGAGATCTCAAAACCGACAAGAGTGGGAGGCAAACCCAAGCCAGACACAAGCTTCTCACCAACTATGCTCTCTTCGTTTCCATCCAAGCAACTGAGGGAAGGGAGAGACAATGGAGGTCCAGAGGAAGGAACAACTGACCCCACCAGCATCCTGACACCCAGGGGACAAAAGCTCTGAGCTTGGAGTGCTGCCCACCTGTGAAATATTAACCCATGATCCATGAATTGGGGGGAGCCCAAACAAATGCCCTATTTACAGAGGGGGAGGAGCAGGTCCTGGGCTAGAGACTGGGGGGTGGGAGGCTGCTGTGAGGGAAGTTGGGAAAATGCCAAGGGACTCCAGGTGGGAGAGGTGTGGGTTGAGAGTCACAGATCACCTACCTGGCTAACTCTGCTACATGAGTTATGCTAGGAAGATACAGAAATGGAATGAGGGCCAAGCATGTAATCCCAGCACTCATGAGGCTAAGACAGGAGCACTGTGAGTTCAGGTCAGCCTGGACTACATAGCAAGAACCTTCCAAAAAA